AAAAATGCAATTTCGACGAACGAAAAATACTAATCAATCCCGTCACTACTTCAACACTATATTCATCTGCTACTAAAATACTAAAACAGCAAGTAAGTAGAGAAACTTAAGTTTCTTTCAAAAATAATGTTTAAGGAAAAAGCCATAGACATTTTTTGTTGACAGTTTTTTTTAACTAATCTAAAAGATTAATTTTGTGTATTGTTTAAATTTTCATTTTTTGTACATAATTTGTTTTAGGTTTAAACAAAATGAACTTCTAAGAAAGAGCTAAGGAAGGTTTTAAAATTCTTAAGAAAACTATTCAGAGCAAAAAACATAAAATAGTCTTCCTGTCCAAAATATAAATAGGTATAAATATTTGGATATTATGAGTGATTTTTTATTCTATAAATAGAACATAATTTGCTTCTAACTCACTACCTAATGAACTATATTATATAGTACAAAACTAAACAAGAATATCACATTATTTATGTTTTTTTTTTAATTTCCTTAAAAAACGTCCCCAAAAAATGTGAATATTTATTATTGGAGTTTACATCGTTATGCTAAAACTATATTAGAACAACTTAAATAATGTGGATTTTGACTATTTTGAGTTATGCAGATCATTATGATCTAAAAAAACGTTTGTCTGGTGCTATAGTCAGGTATAAAAACATTCATTTATTTAAACACAGTTGCAATATACATTTTATTTAGTTTTTAAGTTAAAATCCTAAAATGACTTTTTTCATTTGATGTGAGATTAATTATTCTACATTTTTGTTGGTTAAATAGGTTATATTAAGATGTCTTACTGTTTTCTCTGATTATCTAAAAAGTTAGAACAATGTACAAAGACTGTTATAACAAAAAAGAGATATACCTTTACTTAAACACAAAATTAGTCAGTTCAATTGTACGATAATTTAAAGCAGAATTCCAGAAAACTGTAAAAATGTGTTTAAATGTGTTTTTACTATAACAAGGACATAATTATTAAAAAAACTTGGCACATTAGCATTGACGATAGGTTTTTATAATACATATTATACAAATCACAACGAACTACACAAAATGACATTATTAATAATTTAGCAATAAGAAAGTTAAGTACAATGATGACAATAAAAGTTGAGTTTCTCGAAATACTTTTTTTAAATTGTCTCAGTACCTACCTAGTATTTTTCTAGCACAATGATATTATATGAATGTGCATTATTGTATGATATCTTATATTTTAGGAATAAAATGATATATTTTTTTGCAGGTTTCTGTTAACAAGGATTCCAAGAACTATTGAAAATATTATTAAAATGACCTTTACAAATATAATTCTTAGTTAAGAGCTTTTGATCTAACATTAAATTTTTATTCTTCATAAGGTTACAGCGTCCTAAGAAGAAAGTTTAACAAGACTTACCAGACCCAAAATATCAAAATTTTACCAACCAATTGATGGTTCTACTGGTTTTCATAGGAAAATTCTCCTCGAAACTACTAAAAGAAAAGTGGCAGAGGCAACCGAAGAAGGCAAAAAGTCTTTTGCAAAAAAAAACTAGAAATTTGTTTAAAACTCTAATTATTGCTTGAAGTTTTACCATTACTAATTTTTGATAACGATTTAAGATTATGAAGTTCTACTATGTATTTTACTCTTTGATAACCTGTTTAAATTTTTATTAGGACCAAAATAAATTATATTATTTATTTCAACTACAAAAACCCTCATAATATTAAAAATAGGAAAAACGTTAGATTGGTTATGTTCAGGAATAAACTGTTTAAATATTTATCTACTTAAAATGTGTTACTTTTAGAAGGTATGTTATTAACTTTCTATTTGTACTTGTATTAATTTATTTCATTTTATTATCTGTTGTATTTTCAAATTGATTTTGATATTAATCTTATCTATTTATATATTTTTTATATTTAAATATTGTTTTTTCATTGAAACAAACGTTTATTAGCTTATTAAATATAATGTATTTATGTTGTTTTATTATATGCTTTTATGAATGATTACTTTTATTTCCTTTTAAAAATGAATTTTGAAGATAAAGCCGAAACGGTAAGTGAGAATAAAAAAATTAGACGAAAGTGACGATATTTACTGGAGCTTTCATCTACACGCTCCTTTTTCTAGCCATCTACACCTGAGCTAGCAAGATCGTCTTCCTTTCATCCTCACATTCTCCAAATTTACAGAGAAAACGCCGTCCTCTTTAACATATCCAGACCTTTGACGGGGACTATACCACTACATTATCAGCTTTATTTGTTATCCCGAGCAATTTAAATGCATTCGTAATTGCTCATTCTCACCTCTTCTTTTGTAGATTCCGTACTCAGTTTTCTTATTTTTAGTTACGTTTGCACTGCTCTTTTATTTTCACAGCTTTTATTCTATAATTAACACTCTGATGTAGAATGTTAAAACTTTCAGTATAATTCTCGATTATTCACTGTATACAATAATTGTATGTGCTAGATTTTTGATATTGATTGTAAAAGTCCTTCAAACATATTATTTGTTTCTCAATATTCCTAAAATTATTCCTGCGAGTAAAATTATCATGTAAACCAAGAAACCGAAATGTTAGAGTTTTCTATTTTCCTAGTTGTACATTGATCGAAATGATTTGTTACATTCGTAGATATATCCGTAAATACATTTCTGTTGAATGATAAATAATATCCAACCGTAATGAAAATTAGAGAAGTTCAACGTAACGTGAAATGATGTCGAATCCCCATGCGGAAATAACTAGCAGCAAATAACATCATCGAGATGTAAAACTATACGAACTGCCATATCACAGACAGACATTCATCAACTTTTCGATAATTTATAAACATAACACTTCGTTTTTCACATGCTTGCACATATCCACTGCAAATCTAGGAGTGAAAAATGACTCTTGCAGCCTTTCCGTAACGTATTGCTCTCATACATTATGATGTGTTTGCCTCGTCGTAATAGATAGATGCACATTTTTTAACTTGGTTTCCGTAGCTCAAAATTCATCCGTACAATTTGGGATACGTATTCTCCGGTCCGAAATGTGTTTTTGTTTGTCTACTATACCGTTGACAAATCTGCGCTACATATATTGAATACATAAACGAAGGTTTATTTCGAAAAAAAAGCCGAAGTAAAATTTTCGTCATCTATTATATTCATTTATAAAAAATATGATGTGTATGCGTTCTGTCATTAAATATGTACAAATAAATGGTGGTCAGGGTGAGGGCGGAGGCACGAGGTAAGTGGAAAATGGCCTTTTCCGCCAGGGTGTAGACATGGACGTACTGTGGAAAAGAGAAATAAATGACAATATCCATTTAAAAATAGAATATTTTATTTAATAATCTATAAATAAAAGTTCAAAAACATTGTGATTCTATTTACAAACTTTTTCATAGGATGATAACTGTAAAATACCATGAGATACATAAAAATATAATATTATTAGAATTTTTTTTATTAGTATTTTTTTATTACTATTTTTTTTTATTACAATAAATAATTAAATAAACAAAAAAAAACCAAAAACTAAGATCATTGGTCGCATACAGCAGAATAACCGGTAACATACCGGTAGTTACTCCTCGGTATATAATGCTGAATGGTGACGAATAGTTGACAACTGACTTACCGGTGTTTTCTTTGTCTATTGTCAAAAATGTCAATGTTATTTTAAAGTTTTAATTTTGATCTTACTTTACTTTCTGGGTCAGTTTAGTCGCTAAAAAATCTTTTTTGAACTTTTTGTATTCTGTACCAACGTTGGTCTTTAAAATGGATCTCGCTTTATGGTTTGATGATGTTGTGGATCTAAATTTAGTTATGGGGATTGCCGAACAGCTTGCTGCACCAATGAATTTAGAAATTGTTGAAAACCATCCTGTAATTACAAGAAATGATGATTATTTTGAAGTAACCGAAGCGGGATATTCCGAAGACCAATTTAAAGAACATTTTAGGATGAGCCGTGCTTCTTTTTTTGTAAGTTTTGTACTGGAAGATAATAATGTTTGTTACAATTGAATTTTATTTTTAGAATCTATGTGAAATTCTTGTAAACAGAATGGACAATATTGCCAGTAAAATTGATTTTCCAAAGAAAGTGCTGTTAACAATATACATAATGTCAAAACCTGTCAGTTTTTTAGAAGCTGGAGACAAATTTGGAATGTCTGGTGGTACAGCCCATTATATTTTTAAAGAAACAATACACCTGTTGGCTGGACTTGTCAATGAATATATTGTCTGGCCACATCAATTGAATTCTAATGACCATACTTTCAGAGAAAGGTCAAGGGGCTTTCCCAATGTTGTGGTCATTATTGATGGATGCCATATTCCAATCAAACAACCAATAGGAAATGCGAATGACTTTTTTAATAGACATGAAGGCCATTCAATCATACTGCAAGGTGTCTGTGACCACAACTTAAAATTCAGATATTTTTATTGGTTTGCCAGGGCGAATGCATGATGCCAGAGTGTTTAGAAATAGTCCCCTTTTTCAAAACCCGATGAATAATTTAATTCCAGAAAATTATCATATGCTAGGAGATAGTGCTTACCCATTGTTACCATACATATTAACGCCTTATAGAAATAATGGTCATCTTAATGATATTCAGAGAAATTACAACATAAAATTAAGCTCTATAAGGTCTACAATTGAACGTGCATTTGGGCTAATCAAGGAGATACTTATATCAATTTTATAGACGATAATAATGAAGCTAATGGTATTAACGAACTACCTTATGCACAAGTTAATTTATTTGGAGCAGGAAATCGTCAAGAAGGTGAAAGAAAAAGAAATGTCATAGCAAATGATATTTATCAAAATGTTTAAAAAAAATTATTAAATAAAAAACAAACACAATTTATTTTTTGTTTTCTGTCGCAATCACCAGCCTCTCTAAAAGGTAATTCCTCCGTTTTTGAATGTCATTTGACTCGACAACAGCATCTTTGAGTTCTCTCAAGTTTTTTACCCGCTGCTCCTCAATATCCAACTGTCGTTTTCTATGGTCATATAATTTTTCCCCCTTTGTGCTTTGTTTACTTTTTGGGGTTGTGGAAGTGGATTAGAAGTGGAGGAAGTAGGTGTAGAAGGAACATTTTGTGGAGGTTGTAGGATTGAAATAGACGAGGAGAGGAGAGTTGAAAAATTTGACATTAAATTTGTCGAACAAGGCACAAATTCACTTGATGGGACTTGCAGGGTAGGTATTGCCTTATTTAAAGATGGTGAGGAAGAGAAACTGGATGGAGAAGACTTGGCAATATTTGTGTTGGAACATTTTATAGATGAAATAGTGTGACCAAAATTGACTATACGATCATCTTTAAATATTTCTAAGAAATCATTGTAGTAGGGCCACGATATCCTTCCACGACCAGTTCTTTTTTTGTTGTCTAAAATTGTTTTGAAAGTTTTTTTCATATTTCTGAACTTTGTGTCCAGAACGTCGATTGAGCAAGTTTTAAATCCTCTTCTTAAAAATTCTTTTTTAATTCTGTCCCACAAAGGCCTTTTCTTAATTTTTGGATCCCTAAATGCTTACTGGTTCTGGGCATAAAGATCAATTAGCAATTTTGTTTTTTTTGTGGTCCCACATAATTTTGAACGAATCTGAAACATAAAAAGTATTAAAATATATTGACATTTGCAAACCATATGGGCGCAAATGTTGAACCTAGTTTCCTTTTTTATTCATTTTGTTGGAAGTATATACATACCTTCTTCATTTTCTATGGGTTCCTCATTTTCCATAATGTGCTCTTCTTCCATGGGTTCCTCATTTTCCTTATCTTCAGAATCCACTCCAACATATTCAGCATTATTTTCTTTGAAATACTGTGCAGCGAAATTATCATATAAGAAACAGAAAACGATATTTCAAGACAGTTTATAATTAATAAGTTAGAATTTTAACATTACTAATTAAATTATGCAAATCTTCTGTCCCCACAACCTTGTAAATAATCCCATTAAAGGAGTGCGCACTCTTTATTTCCACAATAATTATTTAAAACTTCTTTTTACACACTAAATCAACCGCAAATAGTTTTTCTAATATTCTCACACGTGGTTAAAACAGGCAAATACTCCAAACACTCTGAGACGTAGACGTAAACAGGAAGTAACAGAACATTGACTGTTGACTGATAGTAACAACCAATAACTACAAAACACTCCCAAACCTTAGACACCGGTGTCACTTACCGTAATTGAAATGCGGTGAGTCGGTTACTAACCGGTAAGTTATTCCGGTTAGTTACCGGTGAGAAGATTTGCGCGTTCAACAAAAATTTATGTACCGGTGAGTTAACAGGTGAGTCTGCTGTATGCGACCATTACCAACTTAACTACTTTCTATTATTGATAACATTTAAATTTTATATTTGAGGATACCTAAGTAAAACAATCTTTTTGTTATAGAAATAAACTTTAATATCCATGTAAGTTTGAATTTCAAAAAATCATTGATAAAGAGAAAAATAAAAAAAGAAATATCCAATATCAGATCCGAAGCCCATTTTCTTCCATGTAGGGGAGAGTTGTATCTTCATCAGGCACTTCATGCTGATTATCATCATTTTTATCAATAATCCTTTTATAAAACGTTAAATTTACCCCACACGCGTTTCTCCAATCTGGACCAGAATGCTTTTTCAAACGATTATCAATATCATTTAACTTCAATGGATTGATTGGAACTGTTTTTGGCAATATTTCTGGAATAATAGTCACTAGACTTTTTTCTTTATTCAGCACAGACTAGTACACTTCCATATCGGCGCGGTAATTGGCTTCACCTCTAAGAAGGACTTGTTTCCTGATGAACTAGCTTCTCTCTTAATTATCATTCACTTCGCCGAAGAAAATTGAAAATAATCTCTTTATTACAGGATCATCTCGATAAATATGAATTCGTTGTCACGAAATAAAATTCAGAAAGATAGACCGTCAAAAATGAATTTCGATAGACACAGAACTGTCATCACAAAAAAGAGATAGGGAAATAGAGGTGTTTGAAAATTAACGGTATGAAAGATATACCGTTACAATATGCATCCCTGTCATTTATTAGTCTTGCTATGTAAATAGATTTCCGTACCATTTTTAAGGTGACACCACTATGAAGTAGTGGTCTGATCATATTGGACCAGCATCAGGAGACACGATTTTTTACAGGCATTGTTTATTGTGTTTTAAATAATGCTATAGTACTTTTCCAAACCAGAATTATTGTTTGGTGATGCGGACACTCTATTTTTCGCAGAGTTTCTTTGAGAAGGCGATCTTAAGCTACCTGTCGGTAGAGTTTCAAGATGACTTGGAGGTTGAGAACATAAAGATAGCAGTTGTAAATAATATGACATTGTTAAGTATTTATATAAAATACAAATATTTTTTACTGGCACAGCTGCAATGTTTGCAACCTATTAACAGCTCATATCTCTTAAAATAATAATATTACCACTAAACTAAATAATATTAACTTTAGCAATAAGAAAGTGTTTACTATAAATAAAGAAGTTTAACAGATCATAAAATATAAACTTTTATTTTTAAATTAATTTTCCTAAAAGTTTTAACATTGCTATTAGCACAAAACATGATGTATACATTTCGGCTTTTTCACTGTATTCTTGATCTGTAAATTACACTTACCAGCCTTGATACATAAATAACTATTTATTTATGGGAATCTGGACAATACATAAATGAAGCAATTAACTTGTATGCTGCACGATTTCCTGAATGAAATATTACATCGTGTAATTCAGTTTGCCGGGTTATAAAACATTTTTCAGAAGTGTGCAACTGAAAGAAAGGATACAGGAGAATAATGCAACTGGTAAAAATAATAACAGGAATTTGTTGGCAGCACGGTGTATGATTCTAAAATAAGATCTCCTTAAATTGGCTGAATATTAGATCATAGATTTTTATAAATATATATTATCTATAGAAAAATTACAAAAATCAAAAATTTTAAATATTAAAGATACATAATAGGTACCTAATGCACTAAAAAATATATAAACAGAGATACAGGGTTTTATAAAGGTCAATCGCATAAACTAAAACTTTTTTTTTGTGAAAAACACTTCAAAAGGGGCGTTTATTGATAATACAATCTGATCAAGAGTTGATCAATGAGTAATTTTGTTATAACCTATTTTAACTAGGTTTGCAATCCTAAAAACTTAAGTTCTACTCCTCGCTAGTATACCTTAGGGTCTAATAACTTAATTACACTAAACTAACATGTAACACCAATAAACCGCGCAATGCTTTGCTTTGTTATTAACACAATCACTTGGCTAACTCAAAAGGTTTCACTCTCTTAAGTCTTCTTGTCAGATTCGTGTTGTCAAGAAGCTAGATCGCCTCAACGTTCACATGTTGGTGGAGCCGTTGTTCGTGACTCCTAGCGAATTTGGTGATAGTCTGGTTAACAGTGTTCATCTAAATATCTCGATGAAGGTCGCTGTTTTTAATGTACCAAGGAGCATCGATGTTCCTCAATACTTTGTTCTGGAATCTCTGGATTATTAGAATATTACTGTAGCTGGCACAACCCCAGAGCTGAATGCCATAATAGGTCCAAATTGGTTTGAGAACTTGTTTAAATCATAGAATTTTATTATGTGTAGATAAGCTGGAATGCCTACCAAGTAACCAGTACATTTTCTTGATTTTATATCTAACTCTTGTTCTTCTAGCTCTTTTAACTCTTTTTTCTAACATGGACCTTTCAGCGAAGTCTTGCATCTAATGTAATACCTAGATATTTTTACGAGTTAGCATACGGGACCTGAGCATTATTTATATTAATTGGTATTCTTTGACCATTTTTGTTAGTAAAATTAATATTAACAGATTTGGTTTCGTTTAGTTTAATACGCCATCTTTTGGTCCATTTATTTATTTATTTGAATAACTGATGTTTGTAGTTTACTTGCAGCCTCTTTATGATCTTTGCCTATCGTTAGGATGGCAATATCATCTGCAAATGTAGCTATTGTATCTTGTTCTAGTTGGGGTATGTGACAAGTCTATAGCAGATACAAAGTGGGTCCCAGGAGGCTTCCCTGTGGTACTCCTGCTTTAATTTCTTTCAAACCAAAGCATAAATCCAATAGCTCTGTGTATGACTGTGGAAGTAGCACATTTAGTTTATGTTTTAAGCCACTATGCCATACTTTATCAAAAACCTGCGCAACATCGAGGCTGAACAGACTTCTTTGTTTTATAATGCATTTGAGATTCTATCAACCTAATCTATAGTTGAATGGTTTTCTCTAAAGCCGAACTAGTAATCTGGAATAAGTTTTCTTTCTTCGATGATGGTTTTCAGTCTTTTTATTAGTATTTTTTCAAATAGTTTCGATATTATAGGCAATAGAGATATTGGCCTATATGACGAAACTTCGTTCGGAGGTTTTCCTGGTTTGGGGATCATAATGACTTCAGCTACTTTTCACAATCTAGGGACATACCATAGTTTGAATGAGGCATTAAACAGGTGTGTAAGTTTAATTATGGCTTTCTTCTGAAGTTTTTTAAGACCTCTCCTGTAATTAAATCATAGCCAGGAGCTTTCTTAGGATTATTATTTGTTTTTATATCTTCTGCAATTTCCTTTAAAGAGGTTGGTCTGATAATTGAGTCATCTCTTACTAGAGGAGCCTAGTTCGGTAAATCTTCTCCTTCATTTGGTTTGAAGGTGTTTTCTAAGTGTCCTGAAAATCTATTAACTTTTTGTATATTATTTCTAGCCCAGCTATCATCTGTATTTTTGATTGGAGCATTCTCACAGTGAGTCTTTTTAATCGCTTTGTGGCTTTCCATAGAGAATAATTAGTGGATTTATCGTTTGTCAGCTCACTAAGGTACTCATAAATAGATTTATTTTTGATTTCTTTTCTCTCTTTTTAACTGCTGGGTGGCGTTGTTAAGTTTGGTTTTATCTGATGGAGCTCTGGTCTGATGCCATGTTTTCCTTAGTTTTCTTTTTGCAGGGATTATATCCCTTATTTCTTTAGGATAGTTATTTCCTGTTGTTCGCTGCATAATAAATGGCATATTATCCCATGCTGCTTGTTGTATGTTGGACATAAGTAGTTCTACTTCTTCATCTAGCTGTACTTTTGTTCTTAACGAAACTGAAAGATTAATTTTATTTTTCAAGGTCCAGTCTGAAGCTTTTCCAGTCTGTTCTCCTATTTATTAGTCTAGGAGCGCATTCCTTTTGGATAATGGTGTCACTAAGAGTAACAAGAATGGTCAAATGACCTGAATTCATGTCCCATGCCTCATCAACTTGGATGTAGTTTTCTGAAATATTTCGTACAACAAAGTAAGTCTTAGTAACCATGCAAACAAAAATTGCTATATAGCATTTAGAACTTAGAACTTTGCAGAGTAAT